CCCATGAAAAAAAAGATAAGAGTTTAATTTCCAAGATTGAGTAATACCTTAGTTTCTAGGTAATTTGTTATTTTATATACTTTGGAACTCTATTTTTCAGGTTCTGGAACCCATACCTTTTGCTTGCTGGTGGACCATGTCCATCATGTACAGTTTGTTTTAAAGGCAAAAGCTTCAAGAAAGATTTTACAACTCTTGAGTTAACTTTTTAAAACAGTGACCTTATGAATAACATGCTAACCTAACTATGAGAAAATTTGGATTCCTCTACTTCTTTTTTCCTACTGAGTTGCTAGGGATACAGTAGGCACTTAATACTTTATTTGAATTCATTTTGACCATGTTATAATTTGGTATGTTTCACATTCCCAAATTGTAGATTGCAAGAAGACCCATTCTTGCTTTTACCTTTGTAGGGTGTTAGTCTTGTAGGGTGTTAGTGTTAATGTCTAATATTTTGAGATGCTTTAGACAAATAGGACTATCATATAAGAGATATAAGATCATTTTATAAAAAGAAAACTAGTCTTTCTCAGTATATATTTTATTTATTCGGCGTATTGAAAACGTCTGACCACTTTAGCAAGCCCTTATAATAATCTTCTGCAGTACATATGGGCTGTCATACAGTATGTGTTGAAATTTTCTGCTATCCAGAAGGCTGGTGGTTCAAACCCACCAGCCACTCCTTGGAAGGAAAGTTGGGCAATCTACTTTCATAGTGATACCGCCTCAGAAACCCAAGGAGGGGTTGCTATGAGCCAGGTCCGACGAGACGGCAGTGTGTTTGGTTTGGTTTTTGTTTTAGTTAGGATATTATTTCTCCCTCAGCCACTTTCACTTGACCAAAACGAACTCTTAATTATTTTTAAAATAACTGCAATGTTTAACTTGTTTAGTTGCCAGATCATGCTTTTCTGTCTTTCTGATTAACATTCTCTAAGTAACATTGGGAGAACTCTGGTGGTGTAGTGATTACAGACATTTGGCTGCTAACCAAAAGGTTGGTGGTTTGAACCCACCAGCTACTCTGCAGAAGAAAGAGGAGGCAGTCTGCTTCCATAAAGATTTACAGTCTTGGGAACCCAGTGGGGGTCTTTATGAGTTGGAATCATCTCAATGGCAGTAGGTTTGAGTTTTGAAGTGCCTACTATGTGCCAAAAGACTTGGACTAGTGCTAAGGGTATTTTTGAGACAGGAGTGTGAATTTTGATTGAAATAGCTGATAATGTTAGTTGTGAATTCACTGGAATGTTCTGTAATTGACTGTGTTGCATAGTTTAGCACATTTGGCAGATTTTTATTGTTGCCTGCTGAATAGGTTACATTTGCCTTACCCGCCTTTTCTCATCTACTGTTGTACCTACATTCGTGTAGTCTTAATTCTTTGGGCCAATCAGAATTTTATTAAGTAGTGGCGTACTCTTGATCATTGTTAGTATAATGGTGAGTCTTAGTTTCCTAGGGCTGCCAAAGCAAAATATCACAAAGTGGGTGGCTTTAAAGAACAGAAACACATCGTCTTAGGGTTCTAGAGGCTAGAAATCCAAATTAGGGACTGGCCATGTCAATTCCTTCTGAGGACTCGGAGAACTCTTTTGCGTCTCTCTCCTAACTTCTGATGCAGGCAGGTGATCTTTGCTGTTTCTTTACTGCTTGTGGATGCATCTTTACATGGTACCTTCCCCTAGGTGTGACTGTTTTCTTGTCCGTACTTCTCTTTCTTAGAATGGATTAGGGCCGTAGGCCTAAATTAAATGACCTCATTTAATTTAACTGATAACAAAAGGAAAGCCATATTTCCAAACAAAGTCACATCAACAGGTACAGGGATTTGGACTTCAACATACCCTTTTTGGGGAAAACTTCAGTTCAATCTGTAACATGGTATGAGGTATAAATGATGTGAGAATTCATGTTTTTGATTTTTTTTTTTTAAAAAGGGAAATTCCTGGTTTTTGTATCCTGTAGCAGATTTTCACTTTCTGCCATCCAAAAGTGTTGTGTTCATCTGCCATATACAGATTGCAAAAACGACAAGGAGGCCACATGTTCCGACCTCCTCTAACTTTACAAGAGGAAGACAGGATTACCAGCAGTAACCCAAGGCCTATTCCTACAAGGCCAGACATGCTGCCTCCCTCCAGCCCTTTCTCCAACCGTTCCTTCCAAAGCATCCACCACCTCTCTCCTGGGTTCGATAATTCGCTACAGTGGCCACACAGAACTTACAGATTATGAGGTTTATTAGGGAAGCACCAGGCTACAATTTGAGTTCAGGAAAAATGCTCAGTCTCTCTCTCCAGCCCACCATCCCTCAGCCAACAGTCTCTCACAGTCTCTTTCCCAGCAGTGCTGGTCCCTCGGTGTCTCACTCAGCAATGCGTGTCTCTTGCGTCTCTTTCCCAGCAGCACGTTTCTCTTTCAGGAGCGCGTGTCTCTTTCGGCAGCACATCTTCCTCAACCAGCAGTCCGAGAGAGTTCTGCCTCTAGGAGGCCTCCTTTTGAGCCCGGCAGGGTGGTCAAACTAGCCAATCATAGCATCAGAACTCTAAGCACCTGAGAGAGAGTGAGAACCTCCCAGAACATTGTTTTGTGCCACGCCCAACAGAAATAACCCAGGTGGATAGCTTCAGCAATCAGGAGCTCCTCAGTTGCTCATAGAAAATCCCACCTTGGAGTTTACAAAGACTTATGGGTAGAAAAGCCACACAAAGTAATTTACTATGCTGCACAGATCTTTTTAAAAAAGTTTTTCTAAGAACTTAAAATGGAAAATATCTAAAGAGGTTACCAGTTATAAATTTTTGGTCTTTTAACTTCATATGTCTATTAAACAAATCCTAGATATTGGATAAATAGCAATTAATATTTAGAAAAATGAAATCTCAGTTTTTTCCTTCTAGGGAATGAAAATATTTTCCATTAGAAAAGTGAATTTAGAATTCAGAATAAGTAACTATTGCTATGATATCAAAGTTTATTGTGATTTATCAGGTAGAGTTTTAGTCAACATTTTTCTTAAAACAAAAGATAAATTATGTATATGTTTGCCCTAGTAAATTCTAATTCTTTTTCTCCTTTCCCTCCACCACTTCCCTTTTTTCACTAATAATTTTTTTATTATATAAAATCCATTTGACAAAAATTGGCCATTTTAAATGTACAACTCAGTGATATTAATTACATTCACTATGTTGTGCAGCCATTACCACTATCTATTTCCAAAAGGTTTTTTTTTCTTTTTTAATCTCCCCAGACAGAAACTCAGTACCCTTTAAACAATAACTTCCATTCCCCCTCCCTGTTTCCATAATCTTAAAGACACACAGCTATTTTTAGGATGCTTGCAGTGATTATTCTTGTTTTTATCACTGTGGATAAACTACATGTAATGTTTTTCATGATCTACAATATCAAAATATATAATGAATATGTTCACATTCTCATTCTGAAATGTCATCTATATGATGCTTCTTGAATATATATTGTGTGTGATTGACTTAAGAATGCCATAGGCCTGTGAAGGCCTGAACACCAGTACACTTCCTTAGGATTTAAAGTATGGTCTTCTTAGTTGGAGAAGTAAGCATTTAATTTTTATGAATTTCGTTTAGAAAGAAAAACTTCCAAAATGGTTTTATATTAGCTAGTATTTGATATTTCTGTGTTATAGCACTATTGAACATATTTACTTTTTAACTGTATACCCTAGGCTAATACGAAAATGCTACTGTTCATTATTTTTTCTTTTCTTTTTTTAAAACAACCAAACTATGCCATTATAGTTTAGAGGTTGAGTAGGATTTGTTCACATAGATATAAGATTTCTGCATGTGATCTTTATTTTTATGTTCAAAAATATTATTGTAAATAACATACTTTCTCAGGAATCCAATTTCTAATGAAAAGAGAACCATGGCCTATTGAAGAGCTATTCAGTTATCTACGCTGGCTTTCCTTAGAATTTTATATGTATTTCACAATCAGTACTTTATTTAAAGTGTATTTTAATTATATTGTTTTATATTTACTGAGTGAAATTGATTTACCAGGAAACTAAAATTTTATATTTACTGAGTGAAATTGATTTACCAGGAAACTAAAATTAGTGCTTTAATTTTAAGCTTTATTTCCTAAGGAAAATGTCTATGATTTTCTAGCTGCTATGATCCTCATGAGACTTTAAAAAAATAAAAAAAACCCTAGTAATTCTGTGATGAATTTGTATATAATAAACCTATTATCAAAATACTTTTTTTTATTATAAGCTATTTTGAAACTATTTCCACTGGGTATATTCCACAGCAACTTTCACTAGATTTGTTGTTCTTACTTATTAGACTTTTAGCAAAATGCTGAGGATAAACTGTATTGTATTTCTAAAGAAATTTACAAAAATATTGAATACTTATGAAATTGTTGAGTAAAATATCATCCATGACTGCAAATATATAATTTCTAATTGACTTAAATTTTAGATTAACCTTTAAGTTTTTTTAGATATTGAATATTTGTACATAATTCTCCCCTGTGTGTCTATCTAGTTTTGAACTCTTAAATGCCCTAGAAAAACCTAAAGCATATTCACTGATTTTAACATCTATGAAGTTCCTCTGTGAGTGCAAGCAGGGAGAGAGAATATTTGCTGTGGACTCAGAGAAACAAATTTTAGCATTTATTTTTTTGGGAAAATTATTTTTTATTCTACTCAGTAGATCAAACAATATCACCCTTGAGAGATCATTCAGTTACATGTTATTACTATATTTTGAGAGACTAATATTTTAAGACATAGGAGTACAGAACTTTTTTTTTTTTTGCTGGAGGAGAAGAGGGACTAGTCTATGGAATGGATCTGAAACAAAGCTAAGAGCCTTGGATTTCAGGAATTTGAGTAATTAAAAGTAACACTGAATCTAATGAGATCTGACTTTTTCCCCCTAAAATGGATTAACTACTGACTTTTTTTTTTCCTCTCTCTCTTCTACTTCCCACAGGAAATCAGTTTCCTCCAGTTGCAGCACAGGATCTTCCATTTGTTTTAAAGGCTGGCTACCTTGAAAAACGCAGAAAAGGTAAACTAGACTGTAAGATACTAATGAAAAATCTGAAAATGGTTTTATTTTTAGATAAAATATTTTTTGTAGTATACACATGATACTCTCTTTAGGTGTTTGGGAAGAGTTTTAAAACTGTAAGAAAACCTGGATGACATTTTCTAAACCATAATATACAGCTTTTAGCTTTAAATAAGTTTTAATAACAAAACATTTGCTCAGGTTTTTAGTTGTCAGCAATGGTTATTTATAAGTGATTCAGGAGCTGTTGCCTGCTTCTTATAGGAAAGCTGTGGGCCATGACTGTTTTCTCAAGGATGGGATTTCCCACCATTATCCCACACGGCTGAGCAGCAGGTTACCTTGCACCTGACCTGGCATACGCCATGTCTGCTGTGGTTCAGATCAAGCCTGGCATATTGTCTGCCATTTTCTATTATTCATCTCAGTGTTCCTCTCCATTGGCTATGATAATTGGGAGTTGACCATATGGTCTCACTCTTTCAACACCAATGTATAATGGAAATGAAATATGGAGGTGGTTCTATGATTTAGGAAATGAAAAGCAGAAAGTCTCTTCATTATCATTCTGTCTATTTCTCAAGTAGTCCCTTTGGGCCCTTCTATTTATATTCCATTTGCTTTTCTTAGCAGAATTTTAAAGCCAAAAGAGATAATGGAAATAATCTAGGTCAACTCCTCCCCCTCCCTTTCATAACAGATGAGAAAATAAGACCCAGATGAATAATTGTCTCAAGGCTGTATAGTCAGATGCCTATTTTGACTCTCCCTGTCTGGAAAGTTAGTTAGTTGTGTCAGTTGATCTCATAAGTGTGGCAGCCCCATCCTGCTTTACTTAATCCTTTCAACTTTGCCTTGTTATTGTTGTTGTTTTTGTGTTTTGGAATAGAAGATAACCAATTAATTAGTCAGAAAATTTTAGAGCTAAAAAGAACATTAAGTGTACTAACATTTCCTTTTGAATACAAGGAACTGACTTTATGTACATTTGTATATGCGATGTATATTACCTAAACTGATCTCCCCACCCCCTTTATTGTAGATCACAGTTTTCTGGGATTTGAATGGCAGAAACGGTGGTGTGCTCTCAGTAAAACAGTATTCTATTATTATGGAAGTGATAAAGGTAATGTTAATATTTAATCATCAACTTCTGTTGCATGAGGTTGTTTTTTTTTTTTTTTTGACCTTTTTTTGTTTTTTTTTTTTTTGGTACAGAGCATACTCTATAAACTGAAGACAATGGAAAAAGAACAGCTGAGAATTTTTAAAAATTGTAATCAAAGATCAATTTATAGTTTTATTTCATTCTTTGACAAATGCTCCGAATTTTAAAATGCCCCCCAAAAGTTAACACAATAGTGTTTTACTGAATTAAGAAAGAGAATAAGATAACTTTTATCTGTGTACCTGGGTATTTGTCATCCAGGTTAGAGTTGTAAAGGTTCTGGAAGAGTTAAGACCACAGGGTTGTAAGAGTTTTGAACACAGCAGAAGATTTTTTCCCCCACATATATTTTAAAGGAAAAAGCTAGATTAAAAAATCAGATATATGCAACACTTTTCTCAGTGTTTACAGATTTAAATAACAACTGCAAACATGTATATAGTTTACTATGTGCTAGTAGCACTTTAGCTATCTTAACTTGTCTAACTCACAACACCTCTATAAGATAGGTACTATATATTACTACCTATATTTATCTGTTATCACGAAAAGTGAGGATGGAGAGGTAAAGTAACTTGTTCAAGGTCACAGGGCTAGTAAATCACATACCTGGGATTTGAACCTAAGCAGTATGTTTAGAGTCCCTGTCCTTAACCACTATTGTCACTTTATTAATTTAGAAACAATAAGATACATTTTGTAACTTCATTTGCTCATTAATAAATCTGTTAGTCATAGTTTACGTAATTTAAAATTTGTTATTTGGACAAGTAAAACCTTAAGATACTGACAATTTTAAGAATATAAGCTTTCTTATTTTTTAACATTTTTCTAGGAAAGGCAGGTTAAAAGTTGTATATTGTAAAGTGAGGGTCATATAGAAATAGGTAACATTCATTTCCAGAAAGGGCATTTTAAGGAGAAAAAAGACAAAGAAAAACCCAGTATCACTGAATATAAGCTTTCCTATGCAATTGTTACTTACTGTTTGTCATTTGGAATTTATGTTTCATTTGACATTATTTGTAGTTTTTATCTCCCCCATTATAAAAGTATGCAGATAAGATTATTGTATCTCAGATAAATTTGATATACTTACATAATGCAAGAAGTTGGTCTCACTTTTTAGTTAATGCAATTAACTAATGAAGAGTTAACTTAGTGACTCGTTTGCATTCTGTCACTAATTTATAATTTGCTCAATTGTAATAATGACATCATTGAAGTGTAAACTGTAAGCCACTAGTAACAGGAAGCAGTCTTCCTTCTGCTAAGGGTAAGTAGCTGATTTTGTGAGAAAACTCAGATTTCAAGTTCAGTTATGATTACCATAGGTCGTAAATGTGTTACTATTGTAAAAACATAATTTTGTATAGTATTATGAATTTAGATCAAAATCTTACCTTTCCACAAAGAAGTAGCCTCCTTTTAAACTCCTTTGTAGATCTTTTTTTTTTTTTTAAATGCATTTTATTGAAATATAATTTATGTACAGTGAAATAAACAAAACTAAAGTGACCTGGGTCAATGTATGTATGTATGTATGTATGTATGTATTTATTTATTTGCGGTGTTCCCTCCCCATCCCTCCTCTCCTACCCTTGGCAACCAACAAAGAAAGTTTCCCTCCATATACAGACCTTTCCTTGATCCTACACAACAACCAACTAATACTATATTTGTCCTTCTGTGATTGACTTATGTCACTCAGCATAATGTCCTCCAAGTTCATCCATATTATGTGGTGTTTTGCAGGCTCTACATTATTCTTTATTGCTGCATAGGATTCCATTATGTGTATGTACCATAGTTTAATCATCCACTCTTTCGCTGTAAATCTTAGAGATAAGTCCCTTGCCACATATGTAATTATCAGCAATTATGAATTTGTTGCTGTCATTTTTGTTATGTGCTTTATCGTGGTGTCGATTTCTTTGTTCCATATAATTTTCTATGCTGAGTTTGTTTTGTTTATGAATCATGTTATCACTTCCTTCATTGCTATTGTTTTAGTATTTGCTGAATATTTATGCTGGTCCTCTTTTTTGATGTGAAGGTTTTATCATTTTTCTTTGAGGTTACTCTGTGATTTATAGTTTTCTTCCCAAGCTTAGAACAGTCTTTTCTATCTTGTAGTTGTCTTGACTTCCCTACCATCTAGAAGTTCTGTAATGACACAGTTTTTTTTGTTTGTTTGTTTGTTTATAATTGTCCTCATTTGTCAATTGGTGTCTCTGGTTCCCTGTTTACAATCTTGTAGGCTTATTTACTTTGGATACTTCCATAGCTGGATTGGTTTCTGGGTTATATCATCATGGGTGTTAATGGTCAGTTGTTGTTTACTGTTGTTGCTTCTCTGTCCAAAGGGCTCCCTTTAGCATCTCTTGTAAGGTTGGTCTGGTTTTAACAAATTCCCTTAATTTCTGCTTATCTAGAAATGTACTGATTTCACCATCATATTTGAGGGACAGTTTTGCTGGGTACATAATTATTGCTGGAAATTTTTCTCTTTCATTGTTTTATATATACCATCCCATTGTCTTCTCACCTGCATGGTTTCTGCCAAGAAATCCAAGCTTAGTCTTGTTGGTTGCCACTTGTAGGTAACTTTTCGTTTTTCCTATGCTGCTCTTGTGATTCTTTCTTTGTCTTTGCCTTTAGTAAGTTTGATGATGATATGTCTTGCTGATTTTCTTTTGGGGTCTCTCCTGTTTGGGCTTCGTAGGACTTCCTGAATGAATATATTCTCATCTTTCATCATACCAGGAAAATTCTCTTCCAACAAATCTTTGACAATTTTCTCTGTGGTTTTATTTGTCTCTTCCTATTCTGGAATTCTGATTACACGTAGGTTATTCCTTTTGATGGTATCCCACATGCACCTTAGGCTTTCTTCATTTTGTTTTGATCTTTTTTATGATTTATCCCTTTCCAAAGAAGTGTTCAGGTATTTGCCTTCAATCTCCCTAATTCTGTCTTCCATTGCTTTAATTCTGCTCCTTTACCCATTCAATGTCTTATCTATTTCTGAAAATTTAGTATTAATCTTCTGGATTTCTGTGTGTAGATTTTGTATCATTTCTAATTTTTCATTTATTTTGTCATTTTGTTCTTGAATTGTCTTTTGAAATTGTTCTAGGGTTTTCTCTATGTTTTCCTTGATCTGTCTCTCAATTCATTGAAGATACCTAAATATAATTCTTTTGAATTCCTTATCAGGGAGTTCCAATGCTGCATCTTCCTCAGGGATGTGTTTTGGGTCTGTACCCTGTCCCTTATTTCCGCTGCTTTATCTTGCTTCTTTGTGTGAACTCTGATGCTCTGTTGTCTCTGAGGCATTGTGACGTTTTTGTGTTATTTGGTAATTGTATGTTGGAGTGACTTTCCTGTGATTTTCATTTTCTTTGTTTTGTTTGAATGTTATCTACGCAAGCAGGATACTGTGCTGTGCTCATCTATTCACTAGTTGACACCACCTCTCTCCTTTCCTGTTGTCAGCCTCTCATATGTCCCTGCTGACCTTGGGAAACAGAGCCTATTGTTAGGTCCCTGGAATCTGAATGAGAATACTATCACTTTAAAATCCAAAATGGTTGCCACTGGTAAAGATTCAAAATAGCTGCGCCCTCGGTCACTTTAAATATCCAAAATGGTTACCGCTTGTAAACATTCAAAATGGCTACCTCCTTGGTCACTTGAAATATTCAAAATGGCCACCACTTATAAATAATCAAAATGGCTGCGCCCTCTGGACAACTCAGGTTGTCTTCCTCCTTGCTGTTTCCCTTCCTAGTCATCGGCCACCAGCGCAGTTGTCACTGCATCCCTTGGTGACCAGGGCTGATCTTTAGGTCAATTTTCAGGTACCAACACCACTTGGAAACATTCAGGCTATTGGTCCTGCCAGAGTAGCTGACAGTCCACAGCTCTGACCATCTCTGTTCTAACTGTTTTTGTTCAGTTTTTTCCACTAGTTGGTGCCTAATCTGCTTCTGTATAGTTCCTTTCAAAGCTCAGACCTCCAGGATTATCTTCTGTATCTCTGTCAATTGGTTTTCTTTTCTTTGTTGCTTGTCTGCCTATTCCTCCATCTAACCAGAAGTCCTTTGTAGATGTTAAAAGCTAATACTCAATAAAGAAATTCTGGTTAGATTTTTGGGGGTCTTAGTTAAATTCTCATTTTCATTCTTATCTGATGAGACTTCTTGGTAATGCCATTCTTTGTCATTTGTATTTTAACTGGTTTGTGATCCATGCAGCCTGTACTACCACCTCCACCCCTGTTTTTCAAAATTACACTTCTAACATTTTTTTTTCATGTGATATTTAAAGTTCTGGTTCCTATTTTCTTAAACTATTCCTTATCTGTTAGTATGAAGCCTCCTGTTTCTAGTGACATTTCAGATCTATTTTCTCTTCTGGCTGCTTCCTTTGGAATTCTAGGCCAGTTCCATTTCTTTTAGAGAATTTTTCTTAAAAATCTGTCTTTAGGTGATTTTTAATTGCTTGCTTGGCATGATCCTGATTTCTTCCCTTTATATCTTTTTCTTTCCAGAAAAGTGTTATGTCACATAAAATTTTAATTTTCTTTTGTGAAATCAGCTGATTTTATACGGCCTTATTCACTGTATTTGTGAACCATTTTCCCATGCTTTGTAAAGAGCTATTTAGATATATGAAACGATAATCCTCAAAATGAGTAGGATGTAGATAAATGGTTTATAGAGGCACAGAAGGAGTTGATACCACTTACTAGGTTAAACTGTGCTTTGTTACTATTTGACAGATACATAGTTCACATTTCTTACCTTATCATGTGTGCTAAAAAACATATTGACCCATCAAGATAGTAATGACTTAGAGTAGTAGTTCCAGCCTCTAGGATAAATAATGCACTTACCTTTATACCCATAAATATTGTCTGTATTTATTATTCATAGCTGTTTGGGGCCATAAGT